AATTAATTGATTGTAATTTAATTTAAAAAAGTAGCAACAATAATAATTTATTATCAAATCTTAACTTTATTCTGTAAATATTCAAATGTTTGTAAATTATTTATTTTATAGCATTTATTATAATCTTATGAGTTAATTAATTGCATGGCAATAAACAATTTAGATTATTAATTAATTTGTAAATATTTTCTTTTTTTACATTTTTAAGTGTTTTTTTATGCTTCAAATTGTATAAATATAAATTGGACAATATTTATTACTGATATTTTCATATAAATTTAGGTATTATTTGTTTAACATTAAATATTATATAGTATGTTACAATATCAGTACATATAATAAAGGTAAAGGTATTATCAATTTATCGGAATGCTTAATAAATCAAAAAGTAATAAAGTATGCAGTCTACCGGTATAGGTAATAAAGGTAAAAGGTATAGATAATAAAGGTAAAAGTACAGATGACAAAGGTAATAGTGTATAGGTGATAGAGGTAAAAGTATGTAAGTAATATAGGTAAAAGTAATGTACCTGTACACGTAATAAACGTAGAAAAAGTATTAGTGATTCTTTTTTTTTTATTAATACTTTGCATTTTTTTAAGGTTTCTTTCTTTTTTTTTCTTTTTTTTTTCATTATAGTTCAAAGGTTAAATAGTAGAAAAACGAAAGTAAAAATTTTTTTGCTTTCGTTTTTTCATTTGAAAGCAAAAGTTGAACGAAAAAAAGAAAGAAAAAACAACATTATCAAATTTATTTCTTTTTTTTTTACAAATAAAAATTAAATTAATTTTGTTAATATTAAATTTAAATTCAAACTTTTTATTTATTTAGTATTAATTCAAAATAAATTTTACTTTTCTTTCTTTTGTTTGTTTATGCTTTTTTTTCTTCTTTATATAATAAATGTTGTTGAAATAGGAATTCAAATCATCCAGACATTACAATAATGTTATATTTTTTGAATGCAATAATAATTCGTTCGTCTTCGTTTGCCTCCAAAATTCTTTTTTTTTTTTTCATTTTTTTTTTTTTTGGCTTTTATTTTCTTTTTTGTCGTTTATAAATTATGAAAAGTTTCTGAAAATGATAAGCTTTTTCTTTCTTTCTTTTTCATTTCTTTTATTTTTTCCTTCTTTTTTTTGTTTCTTCTAATAGAAATGAAAAATTGTTTTGCTTTTTGTTTTTTTTCTTTTTTACTATTTATTTCTTACAAATTTTCCTTTAGTTTAAATTAAAATTAAATTAAATTAATAAAAGCAAAGAAGGAAAAAATTAATAAAAAAATAAAAGAATCAATTGGTAATTTTTTTCATTTTATTTTAAATTGACAATAATATCTAAGGATCTGCTGCCACTGCCATCCTTATATTAAGTCTTATTTGACAAAATTAAATTTGTAATCGATGACTACTCATTTTAATTTATCAATCGATCATCATCATCAATCATCCATTTAATCTCCAACAAATTAATTTAACAAATCATTTTTTAAATTACCGTAAAAATATTTGAAAGTAATTTGAATCACATGTATATAAATTCAATGTTAAACATTTATCATTAACTTTTTGCTTTTGCTTTTGCTTTACTTTTAATTTTAATTTCTGTTTGATAAATAAAATGAAAAAAAAATTACAATTCTTTTTCTTGTCTTTCGTTTCTTTCTTTTTTTTTTAAACAGTTATCGATGATTGTCATTAATTAATTGAATGCGTAAACTCAAACAATTTAAATTTAAAAGTTAGCTTAATTAATTAATTTTAAAGGAAAAGAAACAGGACAAAGAGAGAAAAGCGTTTGAATTTTTTTCTTAACATTTTCCTTTCTTTTTCCTTTAAAAAATAATTGAAGGAAAAATAAAATTAAAAACAAAATAATTGTTATTCATTATTAATTAACAGTTTAAAACATAATTTTAAAATTATTATTGTTAAGAAAAAGATAAAAGGAACTTTGTCATTCCTAAAACTTTTTCTTTTGCTTTTTTTTCTTTCAACTTGCCCATCTACCAATGCATTTGTAGAAATGAAAATACCGAATGAATGAAAGATCAGAATTAGCATAAGCCATTTTAATTTGCATTCGTCCTTTCCCATCTCTCTTTTTCTCATCTGTCCATTGATTATTCGTGTTTGCTGATAAGTGATAATACCTTATCAAATCATAACATATTTGTTCATTTACTGATCTCTTTTACAAATATTGCACACTTCTTTCTTCCCTTTTCTTTTGTTTTTGTTTTTTCTTTGATATATAAAAATTTACGATTATCCCATTTCTAATTTCTTTCTTTCTCTCTTTTTTTTCCTCCTAAAAAATTAAATATTAAGTGAAAAAAAAAAAAAAAAAAAGAATTAATTATCATATTGTTGAGAGAAAAGAAATAGCAACGAAAAAAGAAAGAAACAACAATATAAAATGATAAAAAAATTGAAATTTGTAAGCAATATCTTTTAGCTTACATTCAACAAAACTTCAACCGCAATTAGTTTATGTGTAATAATTTTGCCTGAATACATGAATATATTAGCATTGATTCATTTCATTCAAAAATAAAATAAAATAAACATTTGCATTATGTCACAGTGAATAATAATAATAAATCAGCAAAATGTCAATGAAAAAAAAAAAGAAAAGAAAAGTAACAAAAAGTAAAGAAATAAAGGAAATGAAAGATGGGATAAGAGGCAAAAATAAAAAAAAGAAAAGAAAGGAGAAGAGAAGAGTAGAGAAAGTAAAACTGAAATATAAAATACAGAGTAAATTCATAAGTGATGACAAAAAAAGGAAAAATTACATAATAAGAATAATTAGATAAAATTAAAATATGAAATTTTGAATCAAAAAGAAGCAAAAGGTTTTGAAGAATGAAATTTTAATTTAAAATGAAAAATTCAAATAAATAACTACTAATCAATGGATTGATTTGATTCAACTGATTAAATTTTAATTTGCTTAAAATATAAATGTAATGAATGGGCAATTTGTTGCACTGTGATATATTCTTGTAAACAAATGCTGGAAATTTCTTGTAGAATGATAAGGGAGAAAAGATCAAATCACAAACATTGATAACAAAAATTTGAAAAAAAAAAAAAGAGAAACTTTGATTTGTAGAAAAGTAAGACGAAAAATAAAATAAAACTGTGGTAAATTTTTGAAATTCTATCAAGAAATTTCAAATTTATTTACAAGAAATATAAAAAGAAGACATTTGCATAGATTAAAAGATTTCTTTCATTTCCTTTTCTCTCCCTTTTTTTTTTGAAGTGATTTGATAAAGCATATCAATGTATAGAAGGTACACACATAAATATAATACTCACACATGCACACATACATGTATATAAATACAAGAAGAAAACACATTGAAGTGATAAGATATCATAGTGATAATAATAACTGACACCCATCAATCAATATATATATAATCACTATATCATCCATTCTTGATTCTAGCAGATGACACTTTTGAAAAGAAAAGAAAGAAGGAAAACTGTCGCAATGAAAAATCATTTCTTTTATTTTATGCCGTGGAAAAAAAAGTGAATGAATGAAAAAGAAGGAAAAAAAGTTGAAAATAAAACGATAGTTGGTATCACAAACATTAATTACCAGAAATATCAAAAATTTGAAATCAAATTTGGTAATTAAGACATAATATTTTTTTAATTATTCCATTCCATTTTTTCTTTTTTTTTTTTTACAAAATTCTTCATTTTGTTCATTTTGTCAAAATAGTATGTAAAAAAAAAAATCAAAACATTCATTTAGATTATGTAAATTTGAATTTTAATGAAAAAAAAAAAAAAGATATCGAGGTAGATCAAAACATCAGGACAAAAAAAAGGAAGAATTTTCAGTGCTGCTATTTTACTTTTGTATCTTTTTTCTTTTCCTCTCCTTAGCTTCTAAACGGAATAAAATGCTTTGCTTTTTGTTTAATTTTTTTTTTTTTTTAAATAAACAGTAGCAGCAGAAAGACAAATTTGAATTGAACTGAAATTTCAACAATGAACCTAAAATTACATTAGAAACATGAAACATATTACATTTAAAAATTCAATCATTTCAAGTGATGAAAAAGAAATTTTATGCAAAATAAAATGAAAGAATAAAGCACATTGAGGAATGAACGAAGTGCTAAAAAGGATACACACAATTGGTAGGTTAACAACAAAAAAGGTAGCAGTTTTTAGGATTTTATTTTAAAAAATCGTAAAAAGTGGAAAAATTGACGAAGACAATTGAACAAATGAATTAATGAATGAATGAATGAATGATTGAATGGATGAATGATTGAATGGATGAATGAATGAATGAATGAATGATTGAATGGATGAATGAAATCAATGAATAGGTAAATAAATAAATGAATGAATGAATGCATAAGGTAACCACAACTGAAAATATCAACAGTAGCACTTTACTAGGCAAGATCATAAATTGTAATAATAATTTAAAATTTGTTTCACAAAAATGAAGAAAATTTGATTGATAAAAAAAAAAAAAATTCCTATAAAAGTGCTTGGAATTTGAGAATAAAAGGAATACTTCAAAATGATTTTTTTCAAATTTCATGAATATACATTTAGCTTTTTCTTTTCTTCTTTCTTTCTAATTTTTTTCATCCTATACATAATTAGTAAGTTTAGAAAAAAAAAAAAGTAAATAAATAAAAAACAAAATCTATCGGAAAAATTTTTCATCACATAATAAAACTTTAAAAGAAAAAAGACAATAGTAATACAAGTAAATATCTGCTTGCTAATTAAAGAAAAGAAAAGAATAGCAAACAAATATAGTTATAATAGTAATCATAATCATAATTTCATCATTATCATCATAATAATCAAAATTTCCTAATATGAAAACAGACAGAGAGTACAAGAATTTATAATTTTCATTACAGAATTTAAAATGTTCATCATTTTGTAATTAATTAATTTTACTTTTAAAATTATTTTTCTTCTTTGTTCCATTCCACCACTCGATCACCTCAATATGAACTCAGAAAATCATCTTCACTAGCATGATAATATGCTATAACACCGTTATCCATATTTTCATATGATCTTTGGGCACAGTTAAGATGTGCGACATTAATGGAACGCCTTAAACGTCGTCGTAAAGAAGAATTATTTCCTTTACTTCTTCCATCTACGTTATGATTTCCAAACTGAAACAGAATGAACAATTTAAGAGAACAAAAAAAAAAAAAATGGAACAGATAAAATTAATTTTAAATTTTTATATTAAATACTTCATAAAACAGTACAACTGATATTTTTTTTAATTAATCAACTATCAGGGCTTTTCCATACAAGCTAATTAAAAACTTTTTGGGATTTAAAAATTTTCATTATTAAGCTATTATTGAGTGATATAACTAAAACAAAATTTATCGTAATGATGATTAAAACTAAGTAATGAAATTTTATCCCTTTTTTTTCTCATCTCAATTTATTTCAAATTTGCATAAACTCTAAATTAAACTGTATTCACCTTGCTGGCACTTAAAACAGTTGCCGGACTTGAAAAACCGCTGATAAAACCGGAATCATCACCAACTCCCTGATTACTGCTTTCTGGAGACGTACGCTGAGAGCACGCTAACGATGACAATGACACGTCTGGTGTTGCTGCTACTACTACTGATGGCGCATTTGGTGGTGTCAAAGATGGCGACTGAGGTGACTCAGACGTAGGTGGCGCAACTAGGCTACTCGGTGATAGATTGCGCTTTTCATGACCACTATTGGAACCCGTCACAAGATTATGCACCGTATTCATATAGGGGTACAAAATTTGCTACAAATAAAATTATATGACAAAGATTAGATATTTCAAATAATTAAAAATATAAATAATTTTATTTTTAAAATTTCGAAAAAACAATTTTACAAAATAATTTATAAAATATAATATAACAAAATCAATTTTTTTTCTCCATTATTTCACCTCCTTTTTTTTTCGTAAATATTATAATATATTAAAAAGAAATGAAAATAAAATAAAAAAAAAAAAAACGGACATACCGGATCACATCGTAAAACGTTTACAAGTGCGTCTTCTGCATACTGAACAATATTTGGAGAACCAGAACAAATTGCTGCGAATAGCAAACAAATCGCTGCTTGTACAGATGGTACCAAAAATGCAAATTTTTCATCTGAAATTATTTTCGTAATTAATTTTTCTTACATATAAAAATTATCTTTTTTTTAAAAAAAAAGACTATATGTCAATTTAAGTATTATTTTAAAAAATAAATAAAAATTTAAAATAATGCACACATAAATTCTTCATTTCTTCGTTCCTTTTTTTTCCGCCACAAATTATATTAAAATAATAAAAAAAAAAATAAGGAAGAGAAAATGGTAATATATCATTCATTGAATTAAAAATATTATTATTATTGTTAATATCATAAAAAAAGAGAGAAAAAAACAGATAATCAACTGATGAAAAAGAGAAAGTGTAATAATAAAGAAAGAAAAGAAAATATTTAAGAAAAACTTTAATTGGAAATTTTGAAATCCAAAGATATCTTATAGAATTTAAAAAGAAATATAAATATAGGATAGAAATAAAAGAAATATCAATAAATACGTATTGATAATAATGATAGAAGGTGATCGATTCATGTGATCAAACAGTAGATTGATTGATTGATCAATAGAATGAATAAATAAATTAGAGAAAATGAATAATTTGAATATGAATTGATAACTGAGAATATGTATTGTGTTACAGTGTAATAATAGTACTTTAAATATAATTCTAAATGAAAATCAATAACTTTCCTATATAATTTAGAAATTGTTCTTTCGCTTTTTTCTTTTCTTTTTTATTAATTAAGAAGATTATCCCTTTTTACATCAAATATTAGCAAAACAAATAAATTGATTTAAAAAATTAGAAAAAAACTTTGTGCAAAAAGGAGAAACTTTTTTTTTAATGGAAAATTTTTATCATATGATCACAATATGATAAAATTTTCGTGATTTTCATGATAAAAATCAGTTGTTTTTTCCATCTTTTTTTTATTTGTTAATTTTTTTCTTCTTTTTTTCTTTTTCATAAAAATCAACAAAATTTGGAAAATGTCTGATTAAAAAAAAAAGCAAAAGAAATGAAATAGTAGATGAGACTAATTCATTTCCATCTTTCATCAAAGTCATCAATGCCTTTTTTTTCCTTTGATACTAACTTTTTTTGCTCAAATACTGGTTTAAATTTAAGGAATCTTTCAAAAAAAAAAAAAAAAAAGAGAAAACGGTGACAAAAAAAAACTCTGTAAGCTACAAAAATATTTCATATCAATCATTTTGCTTAACAATATTAATCGTCTATCATTTTCTACTTAAGTTTTCATTTCAGTTATTCTAAATTTAATTTGAAATTTATAATTAAATATAGGTATAAATAAATAGAGTATATATATGCTAGTATTAATAGTAATAGCTAATTTTGCTTACAAATTTTTTGACATCTACTGGAAGTTAATTAAAATTCCAACAAAATAATTTAGTTTAAAATTTTTACCCTGCTATACGTACTTATCAATCAATGATAAAAGTGAATGGTGCAGAACGATCCGATGTAAATTATCAATAAAATTAATATATATTTGATTATCAGCTTTATAATTACCAAATATACTTGCATCAAATGTTTCTTTTGGTTTTTAAATAAATTTTAACACATAGTGTGTTTGAATAGACCTCTTAAAAAGTGTCAAAATTGAAAATATTTTTAAATTTCAACATTTCTACCTATCTATCTCGTCTTGAGAATGGAATTAGAAAGAAAAAGAAAATTGAAAACAAATTCTATTAAATTTTTGGAAATAATATCTTTAATTGTAATTGTAATATTCTTCAGCACATAGCTCAATTGAATTGATTGCTTAATTAGCAATAAAATGTGCATTTGCTATTTTTATTGTTTACAGAGTAATATTAAGAAGAAATTGTTAATTTATAATTAATAAAATGCATCCTAATGCTAATACTAATCGTACCATTATGTTTTAAATATAAATGAAGAGAAAATAATAAAATTGTCGAACAATTTAATGTCATTATTAGTCTCTAAAAGCTCATTAAATTTTTCAGTCAAGAAGAAAGATTAACAAATCAATGCAAAATAATAACAAATAACATTGCATTCGATTTCATATATTTAACATAAATTAATCATAAATGATAATTTATACAATTCATTTATAAAAAAAATAAAATAATGAAATTTGACCAAAGACAATGAAAATATAATTTACATGAATGAACAAAAGTAAAAAGAAAGAGAAAAAAAAAAGAAGCCATATGGTCTAAATAATGATATTAGCTGAAAGATTTCAATCATGAAAAAATGAAACATATACAGAGAGAGAGAGAGAGGGAGAGAGAGGGAGAGAAAAGGATAAGATAGTAAGAAAAAAGGAATATGTCCTGCTGAGGCATGCATGTGTGTTTTATTGGTTAAATAAATAAATAAATAAATAACTGATGAAAAATGATTGGCACCGTAAGCAGGTGCATCTCTCTTTCCTGTCCCATCAATAGAGATGGACGGACAGATACATAGCACAGCATGTGACCGAGACTGGAATGATGAAATGGTATTCCGGAATATGTCTAATGTGCTAGGGAAGATCAGTCAACAGGAAGGAATGAAAGGTTGGAAAAGTAGGAAGAAGGAAGAAAGGAAAACAAAAGAAATATGGAACAGATTGCAAATAACTTTGAATGAAATATAAAGATGAATGAGTGGTTGGGATTAAATATTTTCATATATTTAAGTAAATTTGTATTCCATTCCTGTTTTTTTTTTTTTTTCTTTAACTTTATTTTTCTTATCCTTTAACCTTTAGTAGTCTATTTTAACCTGTAAATATTATAATTCAAATTAATACACTGTTTGCTAATTGCTAACAAATGTGACCTAGAATTAGAAGCATTTACTATTTCATTATGCTTCACTGAGATAATAGCTGACATATTTAATACGAGCAAACGGAATGAATGCTTAAACAATAATAGCTACAATAATTACAATAACAATAACGATAATATGAAGAAATATGGATAAAGAATGAAGAAAGGATGAAACAATCTTTCATAGTGATGGAAAATTCTAATCGATTAATTCATATTCTTCTTATTCTAACCTAATTAATAATTATTGAGTGGAAAATTATGCAAATTTATCAAAAATACTGCTAAACAGCTGCTTCATCATCATTTCTTTCTTTTTTTTTTTTTTTTTTCATTCCTTTCTTTCAAATAAATGACAAAAGAAGAAGGAAAAGAATCTAAACATCTCATTAAGTAAACTGGTTATGCATTGCTATTTTTGTTAATTATTTGAGGAAAAAAAAAAAAATTTATCGAGATAAATTTGAAATATATTTAAAAGATTCGTCTTCTTTCAATGCTCTTTGTTCAGTGAGTAATTTGAAATTGATTGATCAATCAGTGGATTATTTTCAATTTTAAAAATTATAAATTTTTTGATAAAAAAAAAGAAAGAAAAAATAATACCTACTAAGTTAATTAAAATTAACAAAGTCAAATATTTTAAAAGCTACTGCTTATTTTTTCTTGCTTTTTTTCTCTCTCTCTCTTCCTCTCTCTCTCTTTTTTGGAGTATTTAATAACGATCGACTAATAATAGATAGTTTCAAAATTAATACAATGTTTAAATTTTTTATTTGAAATTTACTTAAATGTCACTTATTTTCTACTTCATTTATCTTTATTACTTCATAAATAGATATACACAATAATGCTTAAAATGTTTCAATTTAAGAAAAAAAAAAAAGTTAGATGAAAAGTAAAATCTCAACAACTTCTCTGCATTATTGTCAATCATAATTATACAAAATAAACAGCTGCAAATAAACAAAAGCTCGAAATGATCAATGATAATTCGAATTCTCATGGGGTCTCATTTAATACTTAATTGGTAGCATATCATTAATAAACACAACAGTTGATGAGAGGAATATCAACAGTAACCTTATAAATGATTCAAGGTAAGTTGAGGAAAAATGATAATTGATCATAAACAATGAATAAAAATGTCCATTAAGTAAAATATGGATGATAATGACGATGATGATGATGATGATGATTTAGATTGATTATCCATGCTTATCAATATTAATACTATTCAAGAAGTAATGAATGCTAGCACTAATAAAATACTATGAAAAATTCAGTTTGTACTGTACTACATCAAATAATTATTTCAATTATTGCATATAAAATTAAAATTAATATAACTATAATTTTATTTCCATTCATTTTATTTAAATCATTCTACCAAGATTTCACTGTTACTACTAAATAGATCATAAATTATTGTTATCTTTCAAATAAACCAATCATATGTGAATCAAATAACCTTGATGGCACGCGCTGAAATTTTTATCATAATAAGATTTGATAATTTATCGTATAATAATGTTTAATGTAAAATAGATAAATTTTTCTTTTTATCTTTCAAATATGTCAAAAAAAAGTTTACAAATCAAATTAATAATAATAATGATTTGCTCAAAAAATTAAATTTAATTATGCATTAAATGAGATTTATTTTCCTCAAAAATTCTACATGCAACTCAAAAAAAAAAAATAGTTATTGAATTAAGATTTATTTTTTAAATATATTCATAACTTAAAACTTCTACTGAATTAGTCCGAAAGCTAATATTATTATAATTTTCAATAAAATGGTCTACACTATAAATCATTCTTTGTTTATTGTTTTATGATTAAATATGATGGCAAAGTAATGATATTACTAAATTTTTAAATTTAAAATATTTTCTTTCCTAATTCTTGCCTAAATTTCTTCTTTTCATTCATTAAAAAATTCTTATTTGTTTGTATGTTTGTTTTAAATCATTGATTGTCTTCAAATTAAACATTTATTAGTATTTTTGGAAAATTTTTAAATAATTTGAAAACTTTTTAAAAGATCTCCCTATAATCTTTGTCTAATATCCTGTTAAATTTTGAATAGACAGTATATTTAACACTGGAATAAATGTCTTAAATTGGTGTCAAAATTCGCAGATTTTTATCTTCAATATAATCAGGTAACATTTAACATACAAATATCATTCTATCATTTATTGATAATGTCTTCTTACTGTAGTACTAAGAGAATCACTATTATTTATGCATAATCACTATGATATCTTTAATCTCTAACCAATCATAAAGCAAATATTTATCAAAGATTAAATATTATCATCATAAATTTATAATAGACAGTATGATAATAACATCCCTATA